TTTTTCCCGTCTTTTTCGTCGATGTTTCGTTCGGCTTTTTAGTTTTTTTCGTCGCTGCTTTCCTTTTCGATGATTTTTTATTCGGTTTTTTTACGTCGATTTTCGTCGATTTCTTTTTTTTACCGACTCGTCTATGTTTACGAACAGAGCTTCTCCCGGATTTACCGGTGCGTCGTGCCCTCCAAAGGGAAACTGAGCCACGCGGATGTTTTATATCCCGATCCCTTCATTAATTCGCTTATATCTTCTCTGGCTTTTCTCTTGAGATTTCTATCCGATTCCTTGAGTCGCGTTTTGACTGCTGAGAGCTTCCTTGAACGGGGTATTGTTTTCAACATCCTCTATCACGCCAATTCTGGCGCGTAAAGCTTCTTTCCCGAGTGCACGTATTCCCCTGCTTAGATAAGGAAGTGCCCTTCTAAATAATCCTCCGAGGAAATTCCTGATTCCGTGACCACGTTGATAAGGTGAACCGACGAAAATTCGAGGAATTCCTCCTCTCCTATCTCCACCGTTCTGCCTTTCGTAATACTCGTCGTATTCCATGGGGTGATTAGTTTTTTCTCAAAGCTCCGAGACTTTCCACCGCAATTAATAATTAACGGACACGTCTAAAGTGTAATGTCGCTATCAACGTTCCGGATTCGAATGGTATTTTTTCTCCACGATGATCTTTTATATCTATTTCAATTTTACGGAATTTCGTTTGACGCAATGGAATATATTGCGGAGTGGGGACATATTTTACCAGATTTCGTCCCGTACGTGTAATTACAGCCGGGTGTATCGATTGAAACGATTCGAAGAAGTGGACTCCGCGTATCGCCGGTTATGTAGGCTCGCAAATGTCGCAATAAATGTACATTTTATCAGGGATACCGTGCCATAGACTACAGGGTTCTACAGTCCAGAAAGATACTGTGCGTCCACTACCGATGGCATAACCGAGTTTCAAAAACGGTGTTAATTCGCTGGAATTAGGTAAATTGTGACGGTAAATTGTGCCGGTATCATCGGTGTTGATTTTCAATATTTGAAAAATATTAGCTGGCAGATTTATATAATGAACGAGAGTACAGTTGTCGTCACAATCGATGCTTATACGGATATTACTACCTGAGTCTTTTTGTAGTTCGAAAATAAAATGCGAATCGGCGCGTCTGCACTCTTTATTAATCGCGTAGATAAGTCCCTCTGTATTTTCATAAACCTCTGCCTGTAAGTGCAATTCTTTCACCGTAAACTTATCAGCATTTTTCTCATCCTTTACGTTCTTCAAATTGACAAATCTAATCTTATTATCTCCTCGACGTACGTGGAAGAGACTAGAGGGAAATTGAATCTCGCTAAGCGACTTCCCATTCTCCGAATAAATGTACACTATGAGGTAATTGTGTGGTGAAAGAAGAAGTTGTATTTCCCGGAAAATACTTCTTACTGCTATCGCTCGGAAGAACCATGAAAAATTGCTCCTCTTTCATCTTGGAGGAAAGTTAAACTCGAAGCGGGGATCCAACTGTCGAATTTGTTGGGATATCCGTGCCAGCTAACTAGCATCTGTTTATTAACACCGCGTCCTTTGCTCTTTATCACGCACTCGACGATAAACTCTTCTTCCGCCAAGTTTTTATTGAGCCGTGTTAATTCTTGTTCATAAAAAATCCCATCGATGTGTTCACCCGATAAATCGCACAATTCGTATACGCGGGGTTTTCGCCAATGGAGAACGCGACAAACTCGAAATATTTCCTCGCTCCACCGTGCTTCGTATCCTTTCTCGAAAGTGGCTTTCGCTCTTCTGACGCGTACGAGATCGTTAACATCGAATTTAGCCTTTTGTTCTACTACTTTCGACGCCCCATTCTCTCTCTCCCCTCTACGTCGCTCCATATTTTCACGTGCGATGCGAGCATTTTCTCTCGTAATGGTCGCCGGTTGCATCCTGATGGACGAATGACGGGTGTGATTGTAAGCGCGCACGATATCTTGCAACACATCGATGTAACGCCGCGTGTTTTTATGCGTAAAATAGCGCCACATTCGCTCCTTCAATTGTTCTATTGAAGCGTTCAACGACAGCGGCTTTGATGTCTGAATTGCGAGCTACGCGATAACGTATGCCTCTTTCTTTCAGAAAATCTTGCAGCGGACGTGCGATAAATTCTTTACCCTTGTCGGTTTGTAAGTACACGGGCGCTCCTCCATCGCTTCTCGAGAGAAAGATTTGGAAGTCCCTTGTCACGCAATTACTCGTTTTATCCCGCAGCGGTTCCACCCAGATGAATTTGCTAAGTACGTCGATAATCACGAGCAGATAAGAAAATCCGTCTTGAGACTACGGAGTTCGATCAAATCGGCCCACAGATCGTCGATATTCGTCACGTTGTAACGTAATCGTGGAAATTTTCGCCTCGAGAGGCGGCGCAGTATGTACGCGTCTTGCGATTTGAGCCAGCGAGCTAGTTCTTTACGAGAGAAATTCGGTTTAGCGGCATGCACCGTTACCGAATACCCCGCATAGTGCGCTGGATCGTAATACAAATTTTCAAGCCTGGTCATTTCAATTCACTCCAATCGAGTAAGTGTCTCTTTCTTGCCTGTCGAGAATCTTTCACGAAGGTTATAGGGATATCGTCTTTACGAAAACGCGGCGAAAGAAACAATGCGCACTTCGCTCGCTCTTCTTCTTCGGTCTTGCATTTTTTTCCCTTTCTCATGCGTCGTACCTTCCTCGTCCTCATCGTCGTCGCCGTCGTCGTCATCGTTGAAAGTTTTCTTGGTATTTTCGGGATGGAACTCGCTCGTGGTGGTGATAATATCTCGACAAATGTGATTGCTAACAATTCCTTATTTCCTACGAGTACAGCCGGGGTGTTCGTCGTACGCAGTAATCGTGCAAACTGACCTCTTCCTATTGCTTTCACGGTTTTTCTTTCACGCATCGCATCATTTATCAGTTCCATGATATTCGACTCTTTTATAACGTTACCCTCGATAGTCACGATTCCTTCTTCGTTCCAAGTAATTCTCGCGGGTACTGCTTTATCAATCAAATGTTTCAAAAGTAAATGTGCCTTGGCACCAAAACTTTTCGGCACATTTTCTAATATTTTTTCGACGCTTTGCTACTCGCGCAAAGACTCGGTCCATACTGTATTACTTACGTACTCTTCGAGATGAGGAAATTTGCTCGGTAATTCGCGCGCCTGTTCCGCTACGTCTCCCTCTCGCGCATCAGAATTGTTCTTATCAGCGTTACGCGTCGAATCTTCCTTTTGCGTTTTATCAAAATGAAGATATCGCCAAAGTACTTCCTTATACAATTTCCATTTCTCGCTTACATCGCGCGGAGTGGATGAATTAAGAATCCTGCTCATATCTGGCGCACCGGGTGTTTGAACGGAATTTAAATTTTCTCCCTGCATCATCTCCAAATTCTGTCGCGCGACATTTTCCGTCGTGCCTATTACCGGTGTTGTTGTTGTTGTTGTTGGAACCGTTGCTGCATTCTTTCGAGATTATCCGTGGAAATCAAGACCATCTTCTTTGCCCTTTCCATAACTCGATTTCTTTTCTCTCGAACTACCCTCCGATAATTTTTGAAAATAGAAAGGATAGTATAGGCCCAATAAGATACGGTAAAAATTCGCTTCGCTGTAGTAATAGCTTTTTTT